TAATAATTTATAAGATGTATCCTAATTAGAAAACAAGTACTGATATATATCTGATTAATTTAAGAAAGAAAAGAAATGTTTCTTTTTGAATGTTGTCTAAAATTAGTAATAGACATTGGGAGTTGGGAATGGGGTGAAAAAATAAAAGTAATCGAAGCTTCTTTCAAGAAGTTTTCATTTCTCCAAGAACTTCACGGACACTATCAATATCTGAGTGAGGAGTCGTAATTGATTGGAAAGTGGCATTCTTCACTTTAGGAGCCACCACAATCTATTTTAATAATAATCCAAACCAAGATAGATATATCCTGACCAAATAATCACTATCGCATAATTTGAGCCACAAAGAATATATAATTCTAAGTAGAAAGCAACATAATTCTCCTATATATTTTTGCCAATTGTTATTGGTGAAGCTACGACAAGACTTTTCACAAATGATGCTCTCAAACAAGGCATTAGGAAAATTTCTAGTCTTTAATGACTAATTTTCTTTATCCTTTGGAAAAATAAAATTTATCCATCTACCAAAGGATGAAAATATTTAAAAATTGAATTGTCCCTCAACTATGAACGACAGATATATTTAAATGTAATCAAAGTGTTTGATAAATTTAAACCTATCAAAAATATTTCTATTATTAAAAGTATCACAAAGACTACACTATGCATTAAGTGTCTTCTTATTCAGATCCAATATTAAGGAAAATAAATAATTGTGAAGTAAATCCAAATTAACAAGAATGTTTATATGCATATTAAGTCAAATAGTTGATATTAGATATGAAACTCTACAAAAAAATTGAACCTACCAAAGATGTCTTGAAATGATACAAAATAATTTATTTTTTATTTTACTTAATAATTTGTGTTCTTCAACATTGAACCTCACAAATAAACACTTAAATTCATATAAAATTAAATTAATAGATACATGCATCGTACATAACTTAATACTAATCAATTCGAGTATATCTCACGAGAATTATCATATAAAGAGCACATAAATAGCCAAACTATGAGTTGAGGAAAACACAAGAAGTGTTGTTTTAATATACTCCCCTCTATTCCTTCTAAATTATCATATTGTTTTTTCGAGAGTCAATTTTAAAGTTCAACTTTTGAAAAAATTTCAATATTAAGAAGTGAAAAATGATAAATATATTTCTGAACTATCGTAAATGGTATGCGGATATCCTTCGTTATACTTCAGGGATATTGATGTCTCTGTTGTTCAAAAACTAGAGTGTATATTGATATATACGCTCTAATTTTTGGACGGCAGAGACACCAATATTCCTGAAGTACGACGAAGGATATTTGCATGCCATTTACGATAGTTTGAGAATATATTTGTTATTTTTCTCTATTAAAAGTCAAAGTTCATATAGTTAGACTCGATCTCGAATGAAGAGTACTAAAAAGGAATCTATAGAGTATACTCCTCACATTTTGATTTTCCATTGATGGGTTCTTTAAGCACAAACTTGTTCTTCTTCCTCTGCATATTCTTACTGGTATTAACAAGTTTTCCGTACAATTCATGGTCTGTAGAAGAGACCCTTTTGAGATCTGAAACTGAGTTGTTAGCTCATGAACTTTTTGAATCGGCGAAGCAGCCGGAGTTTTTCAATTGGTTAAAAAGGGTTCGGAGGAGAATCCATGAGTACCCAGAATTAGCTTTTGAAGAATACAAAACCAGTCAATTGATTCGAGATGAACTGGATTTGATGGGGATTGAGTATGTATCGCCGGTAGCGAAAACGGGTCTGGTTGGAATTGTCGGGTCGGGTCATCAACCATCGTTTGGTTTGAGAGCTGACATGGATGCTCTCCCTATGCAGGTATTATCCAAGTTTGAATTTTTTTGCTAAATTTTGTTCTTTTGGTGAATTGTGTTTTCTGATTGGCTAGCTGAGGTTCGTTTAGTTCGTGGGATAAGGATAATAATTTCGGGATAAATTTTGGGAATTGGGATTAACTTTAGGGATATCTCATGTTTGGTTTGAAGTATTAGCTGATGGTAGGATTACATAAACGGTGGCATAATACATAAACGTGTGCTTTAACTTGACCTCGTCTAGTATCTACGCCCTTTAATCTTATCTATGCAAATGCTGGCGCTCAAACTTGTGTAGAGTTGAACAAGTTGACACACACGTCCGACTTGACACTCTACGTGGCAATTTGTGTGCTACGTGAGATATGTTGTGGCACACGTATCTACTTGTGCGCATCCAGTGTTGAAGGGTGTTGATGCTAGATGAGGCTAAGTTAAAGGGCATATTTATGTATTATATTATAAAATTTGTGAGTGTCAAAATATGCATCTGGGGTGTTCTTAACCTTTAATTGGAGGAGGAGAAAGAGAGATCATCACAAGCATTCTCATAGTCTCATTTCTATCAAAAAAAATTTCTCAATCTGCTACTTGAAAGAAGCTTTTTGATGAGTGAAGTAAATGAATCAAAGCATTAATTTGAAGGAATTGGTAGATTCAGAGTACAAAAGCAAGATCAATGGCAAAATGCATGCCTGCGGCCATGACGCTCATGTCACCATGTTGCTTGGAGCGGCTAGATTGCTTCAAAATAGAAGGGACAAGTTGAAGGTAGGAAAACTCGTTATTGTTTTTGCTTTTGATATGAACTTACCGTGTTTGGTCTTCGTCTATGGGTAATGTTGTGGTCTGAACTGTAGGGCACGGTTAAGCTAGTCTTCCAGCCTGCGGAAGAAGGCTATGCTGGAGCCTCGTATATGATAGAAGAAGGAGCATTAGATGGGGTTAAAGCAATATTTGGTATGCATGTCTGGCCATTTACGCCCACTGGTATTATTGGTTCAAGACCTGGTCCTATTATGGCTGGTGCAGGAAGGTTTACAGCAATAATACAAGGGAAAGGTGGACATGCAGCAACACCACATAGAACTAAGGATCCTATTCTTGCTGTTTCTATGACAGTTCTTGCACTCCAGCAACTTGTTTCTCGAGAAACTGACCCTCTCGAGTCTAGGGTATGTCTTGTTCTGATTCCAAACAAGTTTAAAGAATGATTTTTACTTCTTTAGGTCACGGCTCCATCCGTGGAAGTAGACACTAAAGCTTGCATTATGGTAGGTTGTCTACAACACTACGTAACATCCAGCTGTTCCCTACACTATGTTAACATGGGATGCTTTGTGTACCTGGCTGTCCTTTTCTTACTCCTTCGTTCAGAATCCTAGATTCTATGAAGTAGTATCTAAATTTTGTTTCTACTTATGCGCGATTACATGCAGGTTGTCTCTGTTGCATTTGTAGATGGTGGTGAGGCTGGAAATGTAATCCCTGAAGGTGTGAAGTTTGGTGGAACATTCCGGTTCTTGACGTTTGAGGGTCATTCCTATCTTAAGCAAAGGATCAAAGAGGTACGTACTAGAGTTTCACCGCTGCTGCTAATAGCCTGTCTGACCAAGCTTTTGGAAGCCAAAAGTACTGCTTACTCATAATAAGCATTGGTTTAAGATGATTAACACTGAAAATACTTCCTACTCGTAGATCATCGAGACACAAGCAAGTGTACATCAGTGTTCAGCCACAGTTGATTTTGCGGAGGACTTAATGAGGCCATATCCACCTACTGTAAACGACCCCACGATGTACAAGCATGCTAAGGAAGTTGGAGAAGTCATGCTCGGTGAGGAAAACGTGCAGTATGGCGCAATTACAATGGGTGCAGAGGACTTTAGTTTCTATTCCCAGAAGATACCTGCTGCATTTGTTATCATCGGAGCACAAAATAAAACGGCCATCGCTACTGGTGTTAAAGGTTTACACTCCCCTTACTTCACACTTGATGAAGATGTTCTTCCAATAGGTGCAGCTCTCCATGCTGCTGTTGCCATTTCTTATCTTGATACACATGTTTAGACACAGTAGAATTATACATTTTTGGAGATTGAAGAATCATCCCATTTGTAAATGAAAAATATTTTGATTTTAATGAACAAAAAGTACTTGTGGAGCCACTTCTGGGCTAACCACATCCTTCGATTCTCCGCTTAAATTCTAAACTTAGTTGTCTTGACGCAGGGCTTGAACTTGTGACCTACAACAAGTCCATTGACTTTCTATAAACAAATGGACCGCAATACTTGTCAGTTTATAAAACTTATGCATAAATCACCATATTTTGCCAATTTTACTCTTGATAGATTAGTTAATAAATCTTGAAAATATATTCATCATGTATTATAAAATTGACTTAAGAAAACATTAAATAAGAATGAAAGGATAAAATTAAATCATTTCTTAATGCAACTGTAAAGTAAAAAGGTGATATACAAAAGGGAAAATTACGCAACAAACCAAACTTATAATATTTAATTACTCATCATAACTATAGTTTGCTATAATTACCATTCGCGGCTAACATTATACATTAATTACGTGGGCTGACTTCGAATTTGTATACTTAACCATGTTTGTATATGTATAATTAGCCAGAATATACAAATACATATGTATAATATATAATTATTTAACCTATATAAATATACAATTCACCTGCTCCCACTCTCTGCCCTCTCTCGCTCGCCTCTCTCCTCCCTCTCCCAATCTCGCTTGCCCTATATACAAATGTATATGTATAATATACAATTATATACATATACAATTCACCTCTCTCCACTCGCTGCCCTCGCTCTCTCCTCTCTCCTCCCTCTCTTGATCTCGCTCGCCTCTTTCATCCTTCTCCCAGTCTCTCTTGCCATATATACAAATACATATGTATAATATACAATTATCTAACCAATATACATATAGGATTTACCTTTCTCCCACTCTTTCCCACCCTCTCTCGCCTCTCCTCTCTCTCCCAGTCTCGCTCGCCTCTTTCCTTCATATAACATGTAGCTACAAATTATAAATTATCAAACTATAGCTATGGAGAGTAATTAATTATTTCTAATTGGCTATATGTGAAAGAATTCATAAAATGGGACGGAGGGAGTAGTTGTCATTGATGTTTTCGACAAAATGAGCTTCAAAGAGTCAACATATCACATTTTGGTTTGCCATTGATGGGTTCATTTAGCACAGATAAAAATTCAAAAAAGCAAGTTAAATATGCCAGAAATAATTAGATATCTAGAGGAGAAAACAAAAAAAGGTACCTAAAACAAATGAAGGATTTCTTACAAATATAATTATCCAGGATCCTGATTTTGATGAAGGAGATAGTTGAGAAGATGGCCTCTGGCCTTATTTATTGCAGCAAAACATAGGCACAAATGCTCCTCAAGTCCCAGAAGCTCTTCCAAAAAATTGCTATGTTTCCTGTGAAGTTGCTTCACTACCTCCTGGATAGGGTATCGGTCTTTTCCTCTCTCTAGTGCAAAGCGAACAAGACGCTTGTAGAACTCCACTGCATCATATAATCGGCCCACCAAACAATTTACTGTTTCTAAGTGATTGTGGAGGAAAAAGATACCCTTTGTTGCAACATCCAATTGCGCCAGATGGACCAGTTCTTTTTTTGCCATTTTTGAAGGGATGCAAGCAGTGCATGCCGGGGCTGCTACAAGGGCGACAAAAGCATGAGAAGCTATAACTACAGCTGTTATGACCACTCCAACAGTAGCTGCAACTAAACATACGACTGAGCCTTTGGTAGAATGACGGAGAAGTTGGACCTTTGAACGTGACTTTTGTAAAAGAAGGTCAAGCTCACGCTTTAGCTCTAAGTAACAATGACGCATATCATTGAAGTTATGGGTGTCATGTATAGGAAAGGGATTGTTGAGACTGTCAAATTGGAGGAAGATGTCAAATGCCCAATTGCATTGAGCTTGCGAAAGGGAATGTCCAGTAGACTCCATTTCCTGGGGAAGGACATCGAGCAGCCTACAAATGGGAGCATACAAACGTCGAGCTTGGTTTACACTTTGAGAGAAACTGATACAGAGACGAGCGGTTTGCTCACTGTCATCCAAGTACTTAGCGATAAGTTGGTTTAGGGCTTCTGGTTTTATATGCAAAAGTGCCTCTTCAACACACTCATGATTTGGTTTAAGGATATCTTCTAGTTGCAGCGGCTCCTCCTGGAACTCAACTTGTGCTACCTCCACACTAAGGTCAGAAGGGACCTCATGGTGGACCTTGGACCATATCTCGCCGTAAGAAGAAGTTTTCACTGCAAGGGTATATGCTCGTGATAGGTTAACGGTAGGTGAAGGTTGGGAACTTGCTATGTTATCATCAGCTACGCCACCTGCAGTTTATTCACATACATTTGAAGCGATCAGAATTTCCACAAGCGGATTCCAAAACTGCTTGAGTTCCACTCAAGCCACTTGATTTTGATTTTGTGCTAATTGAACCATCCGAAATTTAGAATATGAAGCAAAATAAACTGTCAACAAACAAAGAAGAGAAAAATTGTATGTCATCCACCTAATTTCTAGGAAGCACAGGTCTATCGTGCGTTTAGTCAGAAAAAAGATACTTCTTGGGTTCCTGTTCCTTTCCCCAACCCTTAACACCTTGGTACCCCTTAAGAAAGCAAGGGAACTTGCATCGCCAAGAGTTGCCGACAGCTATCAGCTCCGACAAAAATCAAGCAAACAATTAAGTGACCATAGCAGCCCTTATTTTTCCCATGGTTATACAAACTGGGGAAAATTGTCATAATACAAGCATCAGATCTTATTTTCAGCAAACTTGAAGAAAATAATCATCTGACAGGATTCTAGCTTTCTTTTATTTTTTGATAAATTTAAAATTTCACTAATACCACATCACAGTGGTGTTACAAACTGCCTCCACCGTTTCGATCGACACAAAATTTTACACAGAATGTGACTTTTATTCATTTTATAAACTTCAATGCTTCAAACAGTTCAAGCAACATAATTTCATTTAAGGGTCCAAACAAGAACCTGCCTAAAATGACTTATAAGAGAAAAGAAATAACCTGGCCAAGGTGTAATTGGCCCCTTTTTGTACTTCCACTGCATCTAAATTCATAAACATACCTTCCAAAGATGGAGATGAGCAGTTAGCTGTTGCTGTTAATGATAGCTGCCGCAGACAAGGCAGCATTTGCTTCCACAATATAGTACTGGATACACTGCATAAACATGAACCATTTGCTGATGAAACGTAGAAAGTTCAATTGAAGAGCCAAAATGCAAGCATAATCTCCAAGAGCAAGAGCAAGCTATACCAATTAAACAAAAAGGTCGAAATAAGTATTGAATGACGGAAATAGTCTAACGAAACCAAGTACTCAGTAACGGAAAAGTTCATCATGAAAGTAGATGAATGTAAAGGAACCTTGATAAACTTTATAAAGAAGATTTGCGTAGCTAGCAACTGCAAGTGAAGTATATATTCATGATTTTTCCCCCATGGCATAAGCATTAATGACATAATGGTATGACAAAAAGAACATGTTCACACTCTCCCAACAACATAATTTCTGTCAACGAGCCTTAGACAAACAAACAAGTCCAGCTGGCTACTCAGCCTTGAATTATTGCAAAAATTAGTTGATAAAATAGTTGGATACAGTAGTTAGAGTTTCTGTTTTATAAACAAGGACTAGGCTCAACTACTGGTCTTAGTCTGCAAATATACATAAAAAAGTAAAGCTGATCATAAATTGTGCAAAAATCACATAATGTCATGTCATCTTGTCAAGATACTTATAACTTCTTTCGTCTTGTGCTTGATCTGGTAGACACTAAGCACCAAACTAGTAATCGGAGATATACCACCAAGCACCGCTTACTGATAGAAGGGACGATGGCAGAGTTACTCAAGAAGCCAAAGCTTGAGCATATACATTATAGTTTCTACTCAGCCAAGGAAATGGAGAAATCCATCGTAGCTTCTCAAGATTTGCAAAGAAGGCGACAAGGCGACGGCTATACTGAAGGTAAACTTCCACACCGTATCCTAATTTAGACATCTTAGTCAATTTCATGAACGAGTACATTGGCTAACTTACGGTTCATCCTCAACTAGCAGTAAACAAACATTCTTTCTCACCCTTCCTCCTTGGTTAAGGTAACCTTCCACACCCTATCCTAACTTAGACATCTTAGTCAGTTTCATGAACAAGTACATTGGCTAACTTGCGGTTCATCATCAACTAGCAGCAAACAAACATTCTTTCTCACCCCTCCTCCTAAATTACCTTTCTCTCCCCGATAATTGATCATTGAAGCAACTCACAGGCACCAATCACTTCCTCCTAGCTCAACATTAATGTAGACACTGTAACAATGAGATTTACTACACTTTGCAACAATTTCTAGTAATTACTAACATCCCAACACATTCCCAATGATTCACATAATACCATTCCCCACTCAAAAATTGAAAATATATCAAATGAATAGACAAAAAGCTCTAAGCTTGCTCACACTGAATCAAATACACCCCCCTCTAATGAAACTCTTACCCAAAAAAAAAAGATTTTTACAAACACCCAAAACCCCAAATGGCTCAAGGATTCCTTCTCAGTGTAATACTATGACAAAAAATAGGGCAAGAATAAATATTTACCAAAAACTTGACAAAAAGCTCAAACTTGCTCACACTGAATCACACACAAACATAAAATTAAGGGCAAAGAACAAATAATTACCAAAATAATCTGACAAAAAGCTCAAATTTGCACACGCTAAATCAAATTCTTTACAAGTAGTAAACAGTGAAGTTGATTTTAATCTTGTACAAGCTGTTTGAGTCGAGCTTTGATGTAATCTTTTCGGGCCTTAGCTCGAGCTTGTTGAGGGGCAATGTTGGAAAAGGAAAGATATGCACCGGCGGCAATGAGAGTAACGCCGGCGACGACGCCGGAGAGAGTGAATTTGAGTTGCTTAGAGGTCGGTGGAAAGGACCAAAACACCATTTCTTTTGGGTGTATATATTAAACAAACAAGGAGTACTAAAAACACATTTTAGTGTTGACTTATGTGAAATTTTGACTCTTGCTAGAAAAGAAACATAAATTTAAAAATGAAAAAAAAAAAAAGCCTCACTAATTAAACTATTATAAACTTTTTCGAAATAGTTATATTTTATTTATTGGGACAAATATTATTTGCTACCAGATACAATGAAACAAGGGAAAGAGGCGAACGAGAGCAGGAGGAAAGCGAGCAAGAACAGGAAGTAAGGAGCGAGATTTGTATATGTGCTCTTGATGCATGTGAATTACACTAAATACACATTTGATACATGTATCTGATATGATTCATGTGTATTTGCGATACTACTTATGTGAGCGAGATGGGAGAGTGGTGCACGAGATGTGAGAAAGGCGAGCGAGATTTGTGTATGTGTCACAGTTAAATGCGAATCCATTTGGATACAGTTTATCAAGAATAATTTACACCTAATTTTGACTTCATGTATCTCGAGATACGTGTATCTGAATGTATATAAATACACCAAAATATGTTAAGATCCACGATATTACAAATTAACGTGTATTTAAGTAATTAACTTTTAAATTAATGAGATATATGTAAGTTAACTTTTATTTATCTTGCTTTTTCTTTTATTTAGTTTTTTTTTAAACAAAAGAATGTCTCTTTACTTTTCAACAAATGTGAGAAAAATCGTCCAACTCAAGTTGAGTGACTCCTAAATGCTAAAAAAAATGGCATGGATCATGGTAAGGCTATACATATTGTTCCCTTGGGTCATTTTGGAGAGTTTCGTGAAGGTTTTGAAAAAGAAATTGTGAAAATCATATCTCTAACATTTCATTGACTAACACACAACAAAATAAGAAAATCGATTAATTCTTATTGAGTGGCACCTAAAATGCTAAAAAAGTAGCATATATTAGGGTTAAACTATAGGTTTTGTTTCTCAAGTTCATTATAGAGGGTCCTATAAAGTTTTTGTAAAAAAAGTTTTTGATATCCATATAACCAAAAAATTATGTATTAACACACATGAAAAATTGAAAAAAAATCACTTAATTTATGTTAAATGACCCCTAAATATTATAAAAGTATCGTGAATCACAATGAACTTTATATATTATTCCTCAGTTTATTATGAAAAGTCTTATAATTTCTTTTATAAAAATGAACAAAATTTATATCACCAAAAAACTTCATGTACTCGTTAACATAAAAAAAAATCATAATCAAGCATAATGAAAATCATAACAACATACAAAACTTAGAAGTAAATTACATTGATACTCAAGATGGGTCCAATAGGATTACACAACTTGGCAAATCTTTGGTGATTAAACTCCATAGGGTAAAAATTATTTATATTTGGACTCATTTCGACAGTTCTAAGTGAAATCATACATATAAATATGAATATTTCGATAAAGAAATTAGAGTTATGCATATTTGGAGGTGCAAATTGAAAATTGTTTTTGGTAATGTGTTGACAAGAGCAATTAAGAAAGGCGGAATAACTGAAGACTACAAAACAATAAGTTTTTCATCTGAATTTAAATTAATCGAATCTTTAGATATATAACCTTAAATAAAAAGTAAAAAAGAAATATTTTTTTTATTATAGAGGAAAATGCACAAGTACCTCTCTAGACTATAATTGAAATCTCAGAGACACATCTTAACTAAACTAAGGGTTTATTTCTCCCTGAACTAATTTTTTTTTTTTTGTATTTTACATACCTTTTGTCTTACGTGTACTCCGTGACTCTATGCAATTGAGGCGCGTGGAAGATATTTAGATGTCACGTAAATCAAAAAGGTGCACAAAATTACATAAAAAATAAGTTCAGGAAGGTAATAAGACCTTAGTTTAGTTAAGGTGTGTTTTTGGAATTTCAGTCATAGTCTAAAGAAATACTTGTGCATTTTACCTTTATTATATCATCTAAGGTTATGATAGAATATACTTCAAAACTATGCGAAATAGATCACGTATACCCTCCATTATATTTTGCAAGAAAAAAATATCTTCGATGTTATCTCAAGAGACCACATCTTTAAAAGAACTAATTCCTCCGCCTAAGCATTATCAACTACGATTCACTATAAAAAAAATTAGACCCTTTTTAGCAACAATAAAAATTGCTACAAATCCTAAAATATTGCGACTAAAGAACTAGATCTTTAGTGGCCACAAAAGTCACTAGAAAATCCTAAAATAGTACAATAAATTTATCCCAAGATTAAATAAGAGTCTCTAACGCATATCTAAATTAATTAAGCTAGCCTAAGCGAATATGACACTTTGAATAGAATATTAAAAAAATGATGCATGCAACTAATGTATATCATCAAATTTTGTGGTTGGTATGGAAGAAATATATCTATATATCTCAAATTAAATTAATTCAAGTCATAAAATAAATATTAAATTTCAGATGAAAATAATAATATTTGTCACGACCCAAAAATGGGTGTGATGGCACTCGTCTTATCCCACCAAGACAAGTCAGCCTAAAATCAAATATCTAACAAGGTGCGGAAGTAAATGACAATCCAACAACAATTCCTATTATGAAACCAAGTTATATTAATCCAATCCCCAAAATCAGGTTGTCACGTGCACAAGCCTCTAATGTAAATATTAGAATTGGAATAAAATAGAAGTCTAAATGAAGTTGTCTTTCAAGTAAAAA